AAGAATCTTTCAAGAAAACAGGAATAATAAATAAATATATACTTACAATCCGAACGAAACAGCTGAAACTTCTGAGACACATTATGAGGCAAGAGCACTAGGAGAATCTAACAGTCACATGGCATGTCGAAGGTAAGACAAGAAGGAGGGTTGGCAGGATATGGAAAAATATTGATTAGTTAGTTTTTTTTGTTTTCTTTTTACTTATCAAACTTTTGCAGTTTATTTAAAGCCAAAAAATAGTTTTAGGGTTTAAGAATTTTTGGAGATAATAATGATTTACTGAAAAAAGTTCTACCAATTAATCCTGTTGTGGTTTCCAGGTACTGTAAGCTTGGGTGTGCGGTTGGTGAAATGGTTAACGGCTCGGAATTGAAAATCGGACAGCCGAGTTCTTATTATATTCACTTACGCGCAAATACCCTCGGGAAAGATATAACGCCATTTCTTCTTCCCCTAGCCATGGTTTTGTTGTGGTGTCCCCCCTCTAAAGAATCTATGTTGGACTCTTCTGCCTACTATAAGATTAGTAGGAGAGAAGGCCTTGGGGGAACAGTCGAATATGATGTTGTGACCCAGTAAATGGTTAAAGAAATAGCAAAACAAGTGTTGCGGATATATCATAAATTAAACAGTAAGTACAACAGAAGAGTATTACACGACTATTGAGTGTGTGTCGGTTGACCCAGCGTTCAATCTATTCGACTGTTCCCCCAAGGCCTTCTTTCCTACTAATCTTTTAGTAGGCGGTAGAGTCCACCATAGACTCTTTAGAGGGAGGACACCACAACAAAACCATGGCTAGGGGAAGAAGAAATGGCGTTATATCTTTCCCGAGGGTATTTGCGCGTAAGTGAATATAATAAGAACTCGGCTGTCCGATTTTCAATTCAGAGCCGTTAACCATTTCACCAACCGCACACCCAAGCTTACAGTACCTGGTATTGCTAAGCGGTCACCTATCTAGATACTAAGTAGGCTCGACGTTGCTTAACTTCAGTGATCGTACAGGAACTCTTGTTTCAGCATTATGTGGCCATAAGCCTTAAACACAGGAGACATTGGGTAATTTTGTTTTTTTGATAATAATGATTTAGTGATACAAGTACTACATTTTAACCCATAGATGGAGGAGAAGATACGGATTCATATCTATACCAAATGAATATAATTGAACGTAATTGAATGTAATGAACCTGACTAGAATTTGAATTTGGCTTTCTTTCTTGACCCAGTTTTGAAAAAAGAAAAAATTATTTACATACATACATGCAACAAACTATTTCTTATTTAACAGTTAAAATATTTCATCCTTGAAAATGGCTAAATGTATAGCCGAAAGCGCTCGGATAAAAAGAACATTCGGACAGTTTTTATAAAATTTATCATCTGAAAAGAAAAAAAAATATTAGGCCGCATGAGAAATTGTATAAAAAAAACTAAATCAAAGCACCTTGTCTGTCGTATTCAATGAAATGTGCTTAAAAGAATACTTGTTGCCTAAATACAAAATTATATATATATATATATATATATATATATATATATATATATATATATATATATATATATATATATGTAAGCAAATATATGGGTATAGATTCGACAGTATGAAGAAAAATATACAGAAAAAACAAACAAAAATCCTAATATGCAATTATGCTGTTTTAATGTTAATATAATATCAACGTCGGACGTTTCGGTCTAGTAGACCATCTTCAGGACATATTCATAAAACATTGGACTATATTTAATTCAACACGAAAAGACGATAGACATAAGAGTAAGACTAATCAAAACAGATAACTGAAATTTTTCATGGTCAGCGTTCTGTTTCAATATGATCACGTCGGCGCATTTCTTTGGTTCTGTCAGTTTTATCCTTCACAGCTAGAACCCGCCATGTCACTCACATTGTAGCAAAACCACTCCTAATCCCTACGTGATTCATTGGCGAGGAGTAAATTCCAATCGAACAGGTTCTTTTGCCGAACCACTCTTCTGCCAAAAGGATGTTCTCGCGATCACTATAATCTTCAAAATGTTCTAGTCTAGGGTTAACATATGATCTTCCCCTCATGTCGGCATAAACTGCCTCTTACTCTGCAATTCTCTATCTCGAACCCGGTTCTTGTGAACCTCACTGTAAAAGAATTATTTCATTTTCTTTCTCTTATTTTATCCTTTCTTTAATTTTCTTTCTTCTTTATACCAAGTCGCAAGAGTTTTGTTTAACTTTCTTTGATGAAGCATTGTCACTTAGTGTTCCTTTTTTTATTAATATTTCTTTCAATTCTCCTGACTTTACCTTCAGTATAAATAGTTTTAATGTGTCTTAATTTCTTAGATGAAACTTTGATAATTATTATTAATTTTAGACTCGTATTTTCTTTCATATTAATTCTCTTGTTTTACGCTTCGTTGTAATAGACTTAAGATTTTCCGAATTTCAAAGCTAAAATATTATCAATTATAATTCATTTTTGACTAGTATTTCTTTCATCTTATTTCTTTTGCTTTCACACCAGGTATTAATAGTCTTCAATTGTCTGAATTTTTTAGAGGAAACATTGTCAATTATTATTACTTTTTGATTAGTATTTCTTTCATCTTTTATTTCTCTCGTTTTTGCACTTAGTAATAACAATCTTAAATTTTTCTGAATGTCATAGAAGAACATTTGTCAGCGATAATTAGAAGAAGAAAAAATTGTCTTAAGTTGCCTGAATTTCTTAGATAAACCTTTGTCAATCATTATTTGTTTTTAGTAATATTTCTTTCATCTTATTTATCTTGATTTTTCACCTCGGTGTAACAGTCACAAGTTTTTTGAATTTCTCCCATGAACCATTGTTAATTATTATTAATTTGACTTTTACTTTTTGTTTTTCGTCCTTTTAAACCTAGTCGTAATAGTTTTAAGTATTTTCTGAATTTCATAGATAATTTCATTGTCACTTATTAATAACAGTTGATTTGTATCACTTTCATTTTAATTATTTCCATTTTACATCTAATAATCTTAAGTTGGCTGAATTTCATAGATGCAGCATTGTAAATGAAGGTTATAGTTGCCAGGAATATCTATCATTGATTTATATTGCTTTCACATTATCTTATTGAATAATATTGCATTTACATTTCGTACTTAGAGTCCAGCTTTAGGTGTTGGAGAATGAAGATTTATTAGACTAGAGCTAAGTAAGAAGAAGAATATCAAGAACAAAACAGAAAGAAAAAAGAAGACGAAGAAGAAGAAAAAAAGAAGAGGAATAAGAAGTAGAAAAGAAAGAAAGAAAGAAAGAAGAATTAGAGCAGGAAGAAGAAGAAGAAGAAGAAGAAGAAGAAGAAGAAGAAGAAGAAGAAGAAGAAGTGGAGGAGGAGGAAGAAACAGAAGAAACAGGTGGAGTAGGATGAAGAAGAAGAAATGTAAAGGTGGAGGAGGCGGAAGAAGAAGAAGAAGAAGAAAGAGGAGGAGGAGGAGGAAAAAACAGAAGAAACAGGTGGAGTAGGATGAAGAAGAAGTAATGTAAAGGAGGAGGAGGCGGAAGAAGAAGAAGAAGAAGAAGAAGAAGAAGAAGAAGAAGAAGAAAAGAAGAAGAAGAAGAAGAAAGAGGTGGAGGAGCAGGAAGAAACAGAAGAAACAGGTGGAGTAGGATGAAGAAGAAGAAATGTAAAGGAGGAGGAGGCGGAAGAAGAAGAAGAAGAAGAAGAAGAAGAAGAAGAAGAATCAGCAACATGCAGAAGAAGAAAAAGAAGAAGAAATGGAGAAGAATAACAAGAAGAAAAAAAAAGAAGAGTTAGAACAAGAACAAAAAGCAGAATTGGGAGAAAGAGAAGAGGAAAAAGGAGACGTCGATGAAGATAAAGCAAAACAATTAGAAAAAGAAACACAAGAAAGAGAAGAACAAGATGAGGGAAAAGAAGAAGAAGGAAAAGAAGAAGAAGAAGATGAAAAAACAAGCAACAAAAGAAAAAAACAAGAAGGAAATCAAGAAGAGGAACAAGGGGAAGAAAAAAAAGATGAAGGAGAAACAAAAGAAGCAGAATAAGAAAAACAAGAAGGAGAACAAGAGAATAAAGAAGGAAAAGAAGAAGCAGAAGAAGAAGAAGAAGAAGAAGAAGAAGAAGAAGAATGCAGCAACGTTTATTTTCCTGTTCTTTCCATTCCTTTAAAGAATGAAAAAATAGTATCAGCACGAAAGAACTGACTGTAATGACCTGTGTATTATCTGAGAACGAAAAAGTGTGAAGAGAAAAAAAAAAAGAAAATGGCGTCTTTCAACCTTTATTTCATTTTCGTTTTTTTTCTTGTTTTTTTTTCCTTTATTTTAATAATCTGTATATCTGGTCTATGAAACTCATTAAAGGCACTAAAAGAGATTCGTGGAATTTTATAGTCAACACGGGAATAACGTAATTGTAACCTTTAAAATTAATTAATATGCTTATTTTTTAACATTTTATTTTAGTTTGAATTGTACTCTTTTTTTAAGATAAGCTGGCCACATTTATTACATTGAGGCCTGTGCTGAAAGACGTCCCTCGCGAGATATTAGCTAAATCGCCATTTATGCCATATCCCGTTGAAAGGAAGGCTGGATAGAAAGTGGTGAAAATATATATTTTTTTTTTACCTGACATTTCAGTGAGGTGCGATAAGCTGATAGACACCTCATCCCACCGGGTGTCTTTCACTCGGTCTGTCTCTCGAGTGCCTACTTTTTTGTGCGCGAGTGTGACCTATCTATCTATCTATCTATCTATCTATCTATCTATCTATCTAGATAGATAGATAGATAGATAGATAGATAGTCTATCACAGTTTTTCATTGTATAGCCCTTTGAAGTCTATCTATCACATATTCGTATCTATCTATCTATCTATCTATCTATCTATCTATCTATCTATCTATCTATCTATCTATCTATCTAACTAACTAATTAAATAGAGACGAATAGGCTGTGATAGACTATCTATCTAAATTGATAGTTAGTCTATGGCAGTCTATTCGTATCTATCTATCTATCTATCTATCTATCTATCTATCTATCTATCTATCTATCAGAGTCTATTCGTATCTATCAGTGTATTTATATCTATCTATCTATCTATCTATCTATCTATCTATCTATCTATCTATCTAAATAGATAGATATGAATAAGACTGTGATAGACTATGTATCTAAATAGATAGACAGATAGTCTATCAGTCTATTCGTATCTATCTATCTATCTTTTCATCTATCACAGTTTATTCCTGCCTACGTTTTAATGTCTATCTATGTACCTTTTCAGGCAGAAATTTCGCTATTACGCAGGGAGTTGCAGCGAGTGAAAGTGAGAGAAAAGACTGAGTATAGGGAAAGTTGAGTAAAGGACGAAAGATGGACGGGATTCAAGAAAATAAAAGATGGCGATAGAAATTGCATTTAAATTTTAGATGATTCTAGTTATCAAGGAAGCAAGGAACCGGAAGTGAGTTTCACAGGTGGGAAGAGCGAGAAAAGAAATCCTCGACATAGAAGTGGCAGCCGTACTCTCTTTATATACATCTATCTACGTCTCTCTATCCCTCTATTTGTGTGTATAAGCGCTTTTTTTTTCTTTTTGTGTGCTTTCCTTTTGCTGTGTGCTTGTAGCAATATCGATGTCTGTGTGGAGAGAACACACCAACTTCTAAGAAATAATAGATATAGTAAAATATTGAAAAGAAAATCAAATGTTTAAAAGGGGTAACACATATAATGGCGTATAAACCAGAAATTGGAGCTCATCGGATTTCCTAATAGATTATCAACTCAACACACGAGTCAAATAATATAGAGAGACATAGTTTACGGTATATCCTCACGTATCATGCGACTTTTGAAGGCCTAATATTGAAGCTAATTTTAAGTGGGGGGGAGGTCGCTTCCTGCACGAGATATAAAAACTAGCGTATGTAGTGCTGGTCCTGGCTATGCCGTTTTCCAAACTATATATCCATTTACTGTAGTCAAATTAGATTCAAAATTAGCTCTTCAAACGTTGCATAATACGTGAGTACAGTAATTGCTTTCTAAGGTCAATAGTTAAAAATGGCCTTGAGCGATTGAAACACGTTGGTCGTGGCGAAGTCCATCTTTCTTCGAACTGCGTGAACTGGTGCTACAAAATAACAAATAAAGAACTGTCCCAGATAACTGAAACCAAACCACTTGCTTGTGGACATCCAACAGAAGTAACAACTAAAATGGGTGTCACCCGTAACTTGCAGGGAGAATAATAATATAATCAAATTATTGATCTCTCAAAAGAGTAGGAAGAAAGTACCCATCAGTACTAGAAAGAACAATGACAGTTACCGGATTTGAGAGATCTATTTTCCTGGAAAGTTGTTTTAAGGGGAAGATTTTATAATTTACAACTAAAAGAAGTACTGGCTGCTTGGTCAAAGAATGTCGAATGTTTCCTTATAAGGAAACGGTTAATATCACCATTATCATTACCACTGAATATACTTATCAGCGTCGGCGTCTCTCAATCTCGCTCTCGCTATATTTATTTATGTATAGCATTCTCTCTCTATCTATCTATCTCTGTGTTTGTGTAAGTGTGTGTATATGAATTTTCCTAGTATATGAATACTAGCAGCATGGCCCGGCGTTGCCCGTGCTTGATTCAAAAATCGTACGACTCATACAGCAATCGCTATCACTTGATTTAAAATATTTTTGCCCTTCCTTGCCTTTAAAGGAGTGCCCTTTGCCGTGCTGATGTTGCTACATGCCTTACTTCTTGCCTGCGAATTTTTTCTAAGCTCTATACTAAACATTAAATCTGTTACGAAAAAAGAACTAAACAAAATGAACACAAAACGATCAGCTTTAAAAAAGGACTCGTAACTGGAAAGCCGAATGAAAAAAGAATGTTAACAACAAATACTTTTTCACACCCAACCCAGTTCTGCAGAATCAGAATCAACGTTGAGTTTAAGCAAGCGAATGAGCCAATTGGAATAAAGTGCCATGCAGATTTAAATTTTTCCCACTTGTGACGAATGCAGCTATCGTTGTTTTTGGATGCTAGCATGCTAGTTAATATTCGTGTCAGCGAGCTGTTGGTTCTCACGCTGGCCAATAGAATCTTCCTACCTATTCGTGGCAGCCAGCTATAGGCTCTCACTCTGGCCAGTAGAAAATGGCTGCAAACTACATGAAAACTGCCGTAGAAGCATGAAAAAATCGATTATTTCCACTATCGATGGGAGTTGGGAAATGCAAAGTCGGTATGGACTTCCCACTAACTTGAACCATGCGCATGTAAAGTTTGGTGCAAATCCGTCGAAAATTGCGGCCGTGCATTCGTTACACACACACACATACACACACACATCCAGCCTTTTATAGATAGTGATTCCTTTTGCTGCATATCTGTCTGTGTCGTTCTCCGTGTGCATATTCCTCTTCCATTTGGCTCTATGCGAGTCTGCATGATGCACTCTTTAACTCTGACACTCTATTTCTCTCGTTTGTGTGTACAGCTGCCATTAATTATATCTGTCTGTCCATATCTCGCTTACCCGCCCCGCTCTCTCTCTCTATCTTTGTATGTCTGTCTCTCTTTCTGTCTATGCCTCTGATTCTATCTATATCTATTCGTGAGTACCTACCTGTATCCTTTTCCTTTTATATGCTACTTTCCATTTCTGGTATATATTTAGGAATTTGTATATATATATATATATATATATATATATATATATATATATATATATATATATATATGTTTCTTTCTATTTTTTCTCTTTGGGTAATGTCTCACAATTTTTGTGTTTCTCTCTTTATCTGTACTCAATTTTTGTGCGTGAAAATTCTGTTGATTATTTCTGCCTGTCTGTCCTTTCATATATCTCATTCTGTCAGTATCTATCTATCTATCTATCTATCTATCTATCTATCTATCTATCTATCTACCACAGGCTGCACATTATATTTCCTCAATCTATTTATCTATCTCAGTCTGCTCATTATCTAAGTCTGTTAATACCTATCTATCTATCTATCTATCTATCTATCTATCTATATATATATATATATATATATATATATATATATATATATATATTACTTATTATAAAGCGCAGATTGTGTGTGTGTGTGTGTCTGTACGTTTATATATTGGATCGGATTTCCTACATTTTTCAACCGATTTCAACAAAACTTCACAGGACTGCGTAAAATTACCTTGCGGTGGTTCTGACAGCGCCAAAAATGGGAAAAACACAATTGTTTTTGCACGAAAACAATTTGAAAACACGATACAACACGATTCGGTCGTCAGAATGAAAGGAGGACAACTCATATCGAGTTATGCTTATTATAAAACCCAGGTTGTTTGTGTGTGTGTGTGCGTGTGTGTGTGTGTGTGTGTGTGTGTGTTCGTTTATATATGGGATCGGATTTCCTACATTTTTCAACCGATTTCAACAAAACTTTTTTTTGTCAGGTCGTGTTTCTTATTGTCTTGCACACTTTTTTCTTTATTTTTACTTTCAGAATGCTTTAAAAATTCCATTTACAAGACAATTGTTTATAATAAAATTCTATTCAATCGGTAGAGACTCATAACGATTGAAAACAATGTTTTTGTTTGAGTTTGGGTTTGACCAATTCGTAAAAAAAAAAAAATTATTTAAGACATGCGTGTCCGTCAACCTTAAACAATAATCTTTGTCAATTTTATTTTTCAGTCTTTATGATGGTCGATACTTGATCTATCTCTTACTGTTACATCCCCGGGCAACGCCGGGCTCTCCTGCTTATATATATATGCGTGTATATACCAGTCAGTCACTTTTTGCGTTTTGGCTCTTCTCTTATGTGTAGGTCACTTTTTGTGTGTCTCACGCTTTGTGCATCCTTTCTCTCTGGTGTTTGTATTTCTTTTCCTGTGCATCTGTGTCCGTGGGTGTGTGTTTGTGTTTGTGTGTATATGTATGTCGTATTTTTTGCGATGAGTATCTATTTCTTCATGTGCGTCTGTCTGTGTCTCTGTGTATGAAGGCGTGACATTATAAATTTATAAATTTCTGTGCGTACTTGTGTGGGTGTATTTGTCTCTGTCTGGGTGCGTCACGGGAGATGTTTATGCGGAGGTGTCATTATTTACGATTTTCTCTATATGTGTATGTGTGTGTGCGTGTTTCTCTACATTTTTATCTTGCTTTTTTTGCGAGTATAGTCATCTCACTGACTCTCTTTATTTGTGCATCTCTCTACTTGCCTGCCCCTCTCTCTTTGTATATCTTTCTTCGTGTAGGTGTGTGCGTGTGTCTCTCGCTCATTATGTATCTCTCTCTTTCTCTCTCTCTCTCACTCTCTCTCTCTCTCTCTCTCTCTCTTGTGTAGCTAGGGTGATATGGAAAAGTTCTCGGCCAACTACAATTTTTGCACGATCTATCTATCTATCTCAGTCTGTTCATATCTATCTATCTCCGTCTGTATCTATCTATCTATCTATCTTTTATCTATCTATCTATCTCAGTCTGTTCATATCTATCTATCTATCTCCGACTGTACTTATCTATCTATCTATCACAGTCTGCTCATCACAAAGGTATTACGTCACAGTCAGTGTGCGTCACAGTCAGTGTGCGTCACAGTCAGTGTGTCTCAAAGTACGTAACATTCAGAGTGTGTTACAGTCAGAGTGTGTCACAGTCAGACTGCGTCACAGTCAGAGTGCGTCACATTCAGAGTGTTTCACAGTCAGACTGTGTCACAGTCAGAGTGCGTCACAGTCAGAGTGCGTCACATTCAGAGTGTTTCACAGTCAGACTGTGTCACAGTCAGAGTGCGTCACATTCAGAGTGTTTTACAGTCAGACTGTGTCACAGTCACAGTCCGTCACATTCAAAGTGTGTCACATTCAGAGTGTGTTACTGTCAGAGTGCGTCACAGACAGAGTGCGTCACATTCAGAGTGTGTCACAGTCAGAATGCGTCACAGTCAGAGTGCGTCAAAGTCAGAGTGCGTCACAGTCAGACTGAGTCACATTCAGAGTGCGTCACAATTAGAGTGGATCACATTCAGAGTGTGTCACAGTCAGAGTGTGTCACTGTCAGAGTGCATCACAGTTAGAGTGCATCACATTCAGAGTGTGTCACAGTCAGAGTGCGTCACATTCAGAGTGTGTCACTGTCAGAGTGCATCACATTCAGAGTGCGTCACAGTCAGAGTGCATCACATTCATACTGTGTCACAGTCAGAGTGCGTCACAGTCAGTGTGTCTCACAGTCAGAGTGCGTAACATTCAGAGTGTGTTACAGTCAGAGTGCCTCACAGTCAGACTGTGTCACAGTCAGAGTGCGTCATATTCAGAGTGTTTTACAGTCAGACTGTGTCACAGTCACAGTCCGTCACATTCAGAGTGTGTCACATTCAGAGTGTGTTACTGTTAGAGTGCGTCACAGACAGAGTGCGTCATATTCAGAGTGTGTCACACTCAGAGTGCGTCACATTCAGTGTGTGTCACAGTCAGAATGCGTCACAGTCAGAGTGCGTCACAGTCAGAGTGCTTCACAGTCAGAGTGCGTCACAGTCAGACTGTGTCACTGTCAGCGTGCATCACAGTTAGAGTGCATCACATTCAGAGTGTGTCACAGTCAGAGTGCATCACATTCAGAGTGCGTCACAGTCAGAGTGCGTCACAGTCAGTGTGTCTCACAGTCAGAGTGCGTAACATTCAGAGTGTGTTACAGTCAGAGTGCCTCACAGTCAGACTGTGTCACAGTCAGAGTGCGTCACATTCAGAGTGTGTCACAGTCAGAGTGTATCACTGTCAGAGTGCGTCACAGACAGAGTGCGTCACATTCAGAGTGTGTCACAGTCAGAGTGCGTCACATTCAGTGTGTGTCACAGTCAGAATGCATCACAGTCAGAGTGCGTCACAGTCAGAGTGTGTCACAGTCAGAGTGCGTCACATTCAGAGTGTGTCACATTCAGAGTGTGTCACTGTCAGAGTTCGTCACAGTTAGAGTTCATCACATTCAGAGTGTGTCACAGTCAAAGTGCGTCACCTTCAGAGTGTGTCACAGTCAGAGTGTATCACTGTCAGAGTGCATCACAGACTGAGTGTGTCACATTCAGAGTGCGTCACAGACTGAGTCCGTCACATTCAGTGTGTGTCACAGTCAGAATGCGTCACAGTCAGAGTGCGTCACAGTCAGAGTGCGTAACATTCAGAGTGTGTCACAATCAGATTGTGTCACAGTCAGAGTGGGTCACAGTCAGAGCGCATCACAGTCAGAGTGTGTCATATTAGAAATGATATGAAGGCAACATCGCCAACAGTGATCTGGTAAGAAAAGTTAGCTTTCTCATGTAAAATAGTTTTAAGTCATGCTATATTTATGGGTTAAAGTGCTCACTGTCCCTGATAGAGCGTATGTGAATATAAAAGTGAACATTGAAGTCAACACCTAGCGGCGACAATTCATGTTAAATGCAATCGTCAGGAAATTTATGGAATATTTTAAAAGATCTTTAAATTGTAGTATTTTAATTTAGCATTATCTTTATATAAACTTTGCGGCTATACACATTTAAGTACTTATATCCGTAGTTGACGTTATTTTTGGCCGCAGTTCTATTATATGAGAAAATATTTTGAATTTACGGTGTTAACGCATTAGACATCCAATGATATGTAACCCCGAAAGATGGTCTTAAATAAAACTGAAGGTACTTGGGAAAATAAAAATTATTTGAAAGAAAATTTAGACATTTTTCTTGATCAATTTTCTACAACAACCAAGATGTTAATTCGTGCACTTGAAAGGATTGAAATGAAATAAGTAGACATAATACACACACATACACACACACACATACACATACACACACACACACACACACACACACATATATATATATATATATATATATATATATATATATATAGTTGAATATATATATATATATATATATATATATAGTTGGAACTAACATCAATCCAACTAAATATGTTAGCACTATCACTGATATTGAGCGCTTTCCAATAAGTACCGCGCATATATAATATATAAATAATATATAATAAATGCCTATATATATATATATATATATATACATACACACATTATATATATATATAATGCACACACACACACAAACACACACACACACACACATATATATATATATATATATATATATATGTTGGTCACACCACAAACTCGCTTTCACGATGCTTAATTCTCTATTTGAATGACAATTCCAACATTTTTTAGACATTTAAAAGAACATTCCTGGCCACATCCACAATTTCAGAAAATCCTTGTTGAAAATGCAACTATATTTAACCATGAAAACAATAAACAAAAACTAAAAGTTCTTGAAGCTATTTACATAAAACAATTGAAAACTAACCTGAACAAAATGAATTATGAAAACTCCACAAACATACTTAAATGCTTATAGTTGATAGAAAGAGCTATTGGTTTATACCAACGGCGTTCCATACTTAACACTTTTCTTCATTTTCACTCTCACGTGGTCAAGTGTGACGTCATGAACCGCAATGCAATATTTACTTCCATGCGTTTCATATGCACGAATTTATCGTTGCATAGCAATCTTCCATGCAAACAAACAAACCATCAGTGTTTCAAAAATTACCATCTTTAATCTCCGATGATGGCTTATATGAGCCGAAAGATTAGGAAGGATTAAGAATAAAACATGTATCAACACTATGATTTTCTTTCGTCTTATAATGATAATGTTATTAAGCTTATCAAACATTATGAAAGGATTTTGATTAAAATAAGTAGACAAAACGTGTCTATATTATTTAGTGAAACATATATTAACATATATATATATATATATATATATATATATATATATATAATTTAATTAAAATTATTCTATTTCTCCTTTCCTTCTCCAATTTCGACCATATCTGTTATCGTTCTCCCCCCTCTCTTTCACGTTACATCAACTTAAAAATACCCTTCAAAAGCTTGTATAAAGATAATAATATGTAAATTTTTCTCCATTTTTGGAAATGTGATGTGAGGAACCAGGAAAAATTCCTTTCCTGGGGAAATAATATATATTCAATGCACCTTTAAGGTTGTCTGTTGCGTAATTAAATTATATATATATATATATATATATATATATATATATATATATGTGTGTGTGTGTGTGTGTGTGTGTGTTACGTGTGTGTTACGTGTGTGTTACGTGTGTATGCATGTATATATTATATATAGTGAGAAAGAAAGAAAAAGAAGAAAAGAAAGAAGGAAGTTAAAGTTATAAGTGAATATAAACAAATAATTTATTAGGAAGAAAGGAACAAATAAAAAGGTGAACGAAGTTTAAACAAATAAGAGAACAGAAAAGAAGAAATTAATAAAACAAAAGAAAAAGAAAAAAAATCAAAAAGGAAAAGAAAGAAAAAGAAAGAAATGGAAGAAGTGAGTCGAAATATTTAAGAGAATAACAACAACGAAAAAGAAAGAAACCACTGTGATTATAAACAAAGAAATTAATAAAAAGAAAGAAACAAGGAAAGAAAAAAGTAAGGAAGAAATAATAGAAGAAGAATGTTAGAAGAAAAAAAGAGAATGAGAACAAATAAATTAAAAGAAAGAAAGAATACAAAATGGAAGAATAAATTAGAAAGATATAAGAGAATGGAATCAATGAAATTGTGATAAAGAAAAAAATTAGAAGAAAGAAAGAAAGAACGGAAGAACGAAAGAGTGAAAAAAGGGAAAGAAAGAAAAAGGGCACATAAAGATATAGGAGAAATTCAAAAGATATCAGACATTGGAAAAATGCAATTAATAGGATGCAAGAAAGAAAAAAAATGAAAGAAAAGAGAAAGTGGAATAGGTCGCATTAAAAGAAAGAAATGGAAGAAAAATTCCAAACGATGTAAAACGATAGAAATAATGACATTAAGAGAAAGAAAGAAAGAAATGCAAGAAGAAAGTCAAACGATAGAAATAATGAAATTAAAAGAAAAAAGAAAAAAAGAAAGAAAGTAAGAAAGAAATGGAAGAAAAAAGTCAAACGATATAAAACGATAGAAATAATGAAATTCAGAGAAAGAAAGAAAGAAAGAATGAAAGAATGAAAGAATGAAAGATAGAAAGAAAGAAATGGGAGAAGAAAGTCAAAAGAAGCAACAGAATAGAAATAATGAAATTAAAAGAAAGAAAGAAAGAAAGAAAGAAAAAAAGAAAGAAAGAAAGAAAGAAATGGGAGAAGAAAGTCAAAAGAAGCAACAGAATAGAAATAATGAAATTAAAAGAAAGAAAGAAAGAAAAAAAGAAAGAAAGAAAGAAAGAAAGAAATGGGAGAAGAAAGTCAAAAGAAGCAACAGAATAGAAATAATGAAATTAAAAGAAAGAAAGAAAGAAAGAATGAAAGAAAGAAAGAAAGAAAGAAAGAATGAAAGAAATGGAAGAACTAGGTCAAAAGATATAAGAGAATGGAAAAAATAAAATTAAACGAAAGAAAAACCTACATTGAAGGGAAAGAGAGAATGTTGCATTAAAAGAAAGAAAGACAGAAAAAAAGGAAGAAAGAAAAAGAAATAAAGAGGGAGCTAAATATAACGAGATTAATAAAAAATGAAAAGCAAGAAGAAAAGAATGAAAATTGAAACAAATGTTATGAAGAAGAAATAGAAAAATTAATGAGAAATTCCGACAAGAAATGTTATGAAGAAGAAATAGAAAAATGAATGAGAAATTCCGACAAGAAATGTTATGAAGAAGAAATAGAAAAATGAATGAGAAATTCCGACAAGAAATGTTATGAAGAAATAGAAAATGAAAAATGAATGAAATTCCGACAAGAAATGTTATGAAGAAGAAATAGAAAAATGAATGAGAAATTCCGACAAGAAATGTTATGAAGAAGAAATAGAAAATGAATGAGAAATTCCGACAAGAAATGTTATGAAGAAGAAATAGAAAAAATGAATGAAAAATTCCGACAAGAAATGTTATGAAGAAGAAATAGAAAAATGAATGGGAAACTCCGGCAAGAAATGTTATGAAGAAGAAATAGAAAAATGAATGAGAAATTCCGACAAGAAATGTTATTAAGAAGAAATAGAAAAATGAATGAGAAATTCCGACAAGAAATGTTATGAAGAAGAAATAGAAAAATGAATGAGAAATTCCGACAAGAAATGTTATGAAGAAGAAATAGAAAAATGAATAAGAAATTCCGGCAAGAAATGTTATGAAGAAGAAATAGAAAAATGAATGAGAAATTCCGACAATAAATGTTATTAAGAAGAAATAGAAAAATGAATGAGAAATTCCGACAAGAAATGTTATGAAGAAGAAATAGAAAAATGAATGAGAAATTCCGACAATAAATGTTATGAAGAAGAAATAGAAAAATGAATGAGAAATTCCGACAAGAAATGTTATGAAGAAGAAATAGAAAAATGAATGAGAAATTCCGGCAAGAAATGTTATGAAGAAGAAATAGAAAAATGACTGAGAAATTCCGACAAGAAATGTTATGAAGAAGAAATAGAAAAACGAATGAGAAATTCCGGCAAGAAATGTTATGAAGAAGAAATAGAAAAATGAATGAGAAATTCCGGCAAGAAATGTTATGAAGAAGAAATAGAATAATGAATGAGAAATTCCGGCAAGAAATATTATGAAGAAGAAAAAAAACCAGATAGAAACGAAAGAGAAGAGGAATGGATCAAGATGAATGAATGTCTAATAAAAGACAGAAAACAGATTCAAGGCCAAGGATGCACATCTCTGCGTAATGCAAAAGGCATTTTCTTTCACTGCAGTAATGTCCGGCTTCCATCGGAATTTGCTAGAGCATGCTAATTAGAATTAACTATGAAAAAAACGAAACAAAATAAAACAAAACAGAAAAAGACATTGCAACGAGCGTAGGTTTGTTGAAATGTGTCTCGTTCTTCTCCGAGGGAATTTCCTGGAGACCGGCACTTAAGCATAAGCAAGGTTTCCTCGTATCCAGCAGGAAGACTGAGTAGGTAAAAGGTGAGATGTGGAGATAAGATTTGTCTTACTGTCTCTCTGTGTCGCGGGTCAGCAAACTGCGGTGGGAGGGGGTGATTATTGACTGTCATAGTAAGAAAGGCTTTAAAGAGTGTCTGCCTAACGAGATCTGAAAAGAAAAGCAAAGATGGCGTTAGGAGACAGTGGTTTGGAGGTTGGATAGAAGAGGTTTAAATTGCTGGAGACAAGAAAAGTCTACCAGAGTCTAGATCTGAAAGAAAGCGAAAAAATAAATAAGCATTTCAACATTGCCAGACAGCTAAGTAGGTTAACAGTGACAGTCGTCCCGATCGTTTTCTGAGCACTGGAACGGTGCAAAAGAGCCCGAGGAAAAAACACAACTGGGAGGAGAACTGGAATTAGCGGTGATTTTATATTTGGTCTTTTGTTTTTATTTGGACGAAGACAATTTTTAAGTCATTTATTCGAATCTTTTTTCTCAATGAAATTTGCCTGGATCGGTCTACAGTAAGCTCTTTTGCTATTTATACAGGTTAGGAAAATCTATTGTCTTTCTCTTAATCTCACATCTGGACTATTTGAATTAGTGTTAAGTAATCGTTTCGAATTTTATTACTGGTTGTATTAAAGGGTAGACCTGGGAACAAGAGCAATTAAGCGATGTCTCCACACTCCACAAAACCTACAATCTTCCGATCAGAGGCGTTTCTGCCGGATGTTATTTATCATTAGACTAGGTAGAGGAAACAAAAAAGAAGAGGCTTATTAAATATTCATAGACAGAACGGAAATATTTGAATAAAGCAAATACTACACGAATCATAGTTATAAATAGGTGTAGTCTATTTTCACAGTAGTAGGGAAGAGGAACCCTGCTCCATAACATAGCAAAACATAAAAGATGCAGCTGTCGGTATCTCAAATAAAAAATAATCTGTAAATCACAGAAACACCTAAATCTGGTTTCCAGAAACAGGTTAATCCATTAAGGTTGCTTGGTTGCCTTTGTTTAGTGGCATGTCAACACCTCTATGCTGAAATCTAAATATTTTGTAAGCAAATTTTTATTTTATTTTTAGAGATAACAAAGGTTTAGAATTCATACGTTTCCCAAGGGTACTTGCACATAAGCGAATATAACGAACCCAACCGGAATTGGAACTCGGCTCCCTGAATCACAGTTATCGATTTTTCATTACACCACCCGCGCATCCAAGATTACAGCACCTGGTATTCCCAAACAGTCACCCATCTTGGTACTGCTCAGGCACGACGTCGCTTAACTTCATTGATCATAAGGTGCTTAAGTGAGATGTGTCCATATGTTAAAATATGAAGGGGAGAACTGATATTAGAAATACTAACAATCAGAAAGAGACAGTCGAATACATGATGAGGAAAGACGGCTTAGTGAATTTAACACTCACGAAGGAGTGAAGGCAAGAGAAGCCGGAAAAGAATCGAATAAGCTACTTTAAATTTTTGTGAATGGATATCAAAACATGAACAAAGAGGAACGCTCAAGGCCTAAATATCATTTAAACTGACAAAGGAGAGGAAGCTGTGAAGAGTTATAATCGCCTACGTTCTAAAGGAATGTGGCAGCTAAATGAAGATGAAGGATATATCAGGTGATCCCATAAGTTCTGTCAGAACTGTCATTTTTTAAAATGAACGAAATTTAAAGAGCATTTTATAATGTCTAATGGAGATGAACATTATTTTTATGTTTAGATGCATTTAAACTGATCAAATTTTATTTCAGAGAACAATAAAATTAAATTTTGTTTGATTAAAACCCTGCGAACATGGAAGTACCCAAGAATCATTTGAGGCACATAATGCTTCATGAGTTCAAGAAGGGAAACTCAGCAGCCGAAGCGGCTAGAAACGTTCACTCAGTTTATGGAGAGGAATGTGTGAATGAAAGAACTTGCAGAAGATGGTTTGCAAAATTCAGAGGTGGAGATTTCACCCTTGAATCTGAAGATCGAACCAGACGTCCAGTTGAGTTTGATGAAAAGCTTCTTGAAGCAGCCCTTGAAGAAAATCCTGCTTTATCAGTTGAGGAATTGGCAGTGGTTCTCAGTTCAAACCATACAACTGTTCATCGTCATCTTCAACAACTTGGAAAAGTTCCTAAACTTGGAAAATGGGGGCCTCACGAATTGTCTGAAAACAACCTCAAATCCCGAGTTGGCATCTGCTCTTCTCTCCATTCTCGTCAACTTGTTTCACCTTTTTTGAATAGACTTGTGACTGGCGACAAAAAATGGATCTTTTATCGAAATGTTAAGCGTCGTAGACAGTGGCTTGGTAAAGGGGAAGGACCCCAGCCACAGCCGAGAAGGGAACTTCATGGGCAAAAGGTTCTTCTTTCAATCTGGTGGGATCACCATGGAATAATCCACTTTGAATTCTTACCACCTAATGCAACAATTAATGCTCAAATATACTGTCAGCAATTAGAGCGTTTGAACAAAGCTTTGAGGAAAAAAAGACCTGCTCTAGTGAATCGAAAAGAGGTGATGTTTCATCAAGACAATGCGCGACCCCACGCAGCAAGAAACACGTCACAAAAGATGGAAGAACTTGGTTGGGAGAAAATTCCTCATCCACCTTATTCTCCCGATCTTGCTCCTTCAGACTACCATTTGTTTCGTAGCTTACAGAATTATTTGGAAGAATCAGCTTTTGTAACACAGGAAGAGGTTAAAACTGACATTTGTGAATTTTACAGTAATGGAATAAATAAGCTTGTTAATAGATGGAAGGAAGTCATAGATAATCAGGGAAAATACATTGTTGATTGAATCTGTAATTAAATGTAACATTTAGTCACCTGTTTTCTTTATTCAAAATTCGGACAGAACTTATGGGATGACCTGATAAGTGTAGTATGCAGTAGAGTGGATACAATACGACGTATTTGAAATTCCTAGCATGGCATGACGAAAATTAGATGAAAACAATTAGTTAAACGGAAGCTGTCGTTCTTTGTCCTAATCAAAATTCCGCTTCAGCATATTTTGAAGTGTTGTTCATTGAAGATTAAATGCTCCCTTTCTCATGCTTAACATTATGAGCCACAGAATGGCTATGTGGCTGTTGAAGAATGGCGAATGTGCCTGAGCAGGCGTTTGCAATAAGAATCAACTTGAAACCTTATTAGAAAAACATACTTAGAAGGTGGACAGACATTGAATAAACTTGTTGTAGTCTTTTGCAAGGGAGTGTATGCAATAATACAGATTTTTTTTCTAGGATGAATCAATGATCTTAACGAGATAAATCCACTAATTTACAATGATCTGTACATTTTAAGGATTAGGAAAATAAACTTCAAACGATTCGAGAGATTTGATAATCGAAAATGGGCTTTTGAATTAAAAATCTCTTTTATGATTTAAAATTGCATCATTTCCATCGTCATCACTCATCTTCAAAAGCACTCAGCGCCTAATGAAAGCATCCACAAGCACACATACACACACACACACACATATATATATATATATATATATATATATATATATATATATATATATATATATATATGGAGAGAGAGAGAAAAAGAGATCATGATAGATACAAATATGTCTAAAATTTTGACATATTTTGATCGAGTTTTGTTTACTTTTTTAAATCTAATAAAAGGTATACAATGAGTGGGCATTTTTTGTATGCAGTATGAGACAACAATTCTGTTTTAATATGAATTCTATTACAATTCTTCTGTTGTAGCATCCAGTCTGTTACAATGTTTCTATCGTAGTATGAAGTCTATAGCAATGTTTCTTTTTCAGTATGAAGTCCCTTATAAGGCGTTTGTTTTATATGCAGTTTATTACAATGTTTATGTTCTAGTCTGCAGTCTCTTACAAAGCAAGGCAACAGTCTAATACGCAAGAGGTTACAGAGTTTTAGAGAATATGAGAAAAACACTATTAAAGAGAGAGAACAATAACAGAACAGGAATTAATAAGACAGAAGATAGCGATTGACATTGCATTTAAATTTGTGAACGTCTAAGTTGAATTTTGACCGTTTTAAATTTTACTATAAATAGGTGTCGCAAATGTTATTTTGTAATAAATATTAATTCATTAAATCAACTTTGAAAGGCAATATGGTCACTGTAATAGAAACAATATGATAGACCGCCTACTACAATAGAATCGTTTTGGTAGACAACACACCGTAGTAGAAATATTGTATTAGACGTCATAGTACACTAGAAACATTGTAATAAACAACATACCACAATAGAAATATAGTTATAGATTGCATACGGCAACAGAAACATGATAAGAGATTGCATACTACAACAGACACATTATACGAGACTGCATACTGCAACGCAGGCATTATAAGAGACTGCATACTACAACGAAAACAGAAGAGACTGCAGACTAGAACAGAAACATTGTAATAAACTGCATATAAAACAAAAGCTGTATAAGGGACTTCATACTGAAAAAGAAACATTGCTATAGACTTCATACTACGATAGAAACATTGTAATAGACTGGATGCTACAACAGAATTGTAATAGAATTCATATTAAAACAGAATTGTTGTCGCATACTTCATACAAAAAATGCCCGTTCATTGTATACATTTTGTTAGATCTAAAAACAATCACTGTTAATTATTTTTTTTTAAAGTTGATTAATTTCTTTCTACTTGTGTTCCTGCTATATCAAGTTAACAGTTCTATTCATCCTTTTCGTTATTTGCAGGATATATTGTTTTCATTTATTTTTTTAATCATTTCACAACAAGCATGGACATAAAGCCACTAAGACGCAAAGCGTTACTGAATGTGAAAGAGAAAAAAAAAACATTATTTAGGAGTGAGACAACAAAAGAAGAGCAACTAAGAAAACAAAATTAACGATTGACATTGCATTTAAATATTTGAAGATCAAACGTGACTAGAAATCAAGAATCCGACAGAGAGTTTCACAAGCCAGAAGTACAGGAGTAGGAATTGTTAACATAGAACTTGACTTACATTTAGCAATTTCAACTGTAAAATGGTGACTTATTGTGTTTTTTTTTTTTGCAGTTGAAATTTATGAAAACAGTTTTTCATGAAAATAGACTCATGAAGGCCACTTTTATCGTTCTTTCTAATATTAATAGCAGATTCCTTCCCAACCATTTGTTTATGGTAATGTGGAAGATCAACATCTTGATTTTATTATAATTCTTTGTTTCAGTTACATGCGCTACCCATTTCAGTTGTTGTCGCTGGAAGACTTAAAATAATGTTTTTAAACTTTTTATAAAACTTTTTTGTTGTTCATCGTGCTGAATCGAGCTATGCGGTTCACAGAAGGACTTATTTAAGAGCTAAATTATTCACCCTCTTGGCGCTATTTTTAGTCAATGATCCGAGAAAACGGTTGTATATGATACTTTCGCCATTTCTGAACGACTTCGGCGTCAGGGATGACATCCATATGCGAGTCTAAATCTGACGAGGCTATTGAAGAAAAAGGCTCGAGTTCCAAATGTCATAAAGTACTTCATTCTATACAATTCAGTGGCTGCCTAGATACATAAAGTATATGCAGAGGTAATAATAATAATAAAAATAATAATAAGATATATATACACACACACACATATATATATATATATATATATATATATATATGATTAGATTGATGTGAGTTTGTGCTATCTCTGATATTGAGCGCTTTCCAATAAGTACCGCGCATATAATATATAAATAATTATATATACATATTTATTTTATATTTATATATATACACACACACACACACACACATATATATATATATATATATATATATATATATATATATATATATATATATATATATATATATATGTATATATGATTAGATTGATGTGAGTTTGTGCTCTCTGATATTGAGCGCTTTCAATAAGTACCGCGTATATAATATATAAATAATTATATATATATATATTTATTTATATTTATATACACACACTTTTCACATACACACACATTTCACACACACACACACACACACACATATATATATATATATATATATATATATATATATATATATATATATATATATATATATATATATAAAGATTATTTATTCTTCTGACTACTCAGAGCGGTAAAATGTCGAGGAGGAGTTTATGGAAATTGTGAGTATACTTAAAGGTTCCATGGCCAAAAAGGAAACCTGTGTCTATCTTCATTTTCTGATTTAAGTGTATTTCTCCAGTTATCAAACTGTCTACTTTTTAATACCCAGGACGGAACAGCTTTTTAGAGGAGAGTGTTTG